CATTGTGTGATTGTCATCCCTTTTTTTTTGTTTTGTTGTTGTCATGGTGTGATTGTTTCTCATTTTACAAAAAATTTTTTTTTTTTTTTTGATAATCATCATCGTTTTTTTTTTGTTGAAAAAACACTGATGATGATAAAGGTTTTAATGTTAATTTTTTTACAACTTTTGATTTTTTTTTCTCAAAAAAAACTTTTTTTCTAAATTTTCATTTTTTTCCATTTTTCACTTCAAACATTTAGATTAACGGAACTGGATTATATTCTCATTTTACGAAATAAAAACATTCGATTTGACATTCATAAACAACGTTCATTCGTAATTCGTAATTAATTTTTGAACCGAAAAACAAAACCAAGAAAAAAATGGATAATCTTCATCAACGTGATCGTGTTGGTGTTGATGATTGTGTTTTACTTGATGATTATCGTAATCGTGAATTATTTATTGAAAATCTTCGTAAACGTTTTAATGAAGATATTATCTATGTAAGTCTATTATTTGTTTCGTTTTTCATTTTTCCATTAAAAATTTCGTTTCGTTTCGAAACAGACATACATCGGTACGGTACTTATATCGATAAATCCGTATAGAGAATTATCAATCTATAATGATTCATATAAACAAATTTATGCCAATGTTAATTTCTATCAACTTTCACCTCATATGTAAGTTGATCCATAAAAAAATACAAAAAGAATATTGACTTATATCTTCTTTTAAATAGATTTGCTATTGCTGATTCATCATTTCGTCAAATGGTTGATGAATGTCGTGATCAATGTATATTAATATCGGGTGAAAGTGGTGCCGGTAAAACTGAATCATCGAAAAAAATTTTAGAATATTTATCCAATATAACATCAAGTAAAGGATCGGAACAACAACATCATATTAAACAGATTAATAACCGGTTATTATTATCAAATCCAATACTTGAATCATTTGGTAATGCAAAAACTAGTCATAATAATAATTCAAGTCGATTCGGTAAATATATGGATATTGAATTTGATTATTTGGGTCATCCATTAGCTGGTCATATTGATATTTATTTATTGGAAAAATCACGTGTCGTTTATCAGAATAAAAATGAACAAAATTTTCATATATTTTATCTATTGCTCGGTGGTGCATCAGATGAAATGCTTAAAGAATTTAATCTTCGTCGTGATCCATTGAATTATTTTTATTTAAATCAACAGGATAATAATGATTATATTGTTGATGGTAATGGTGATGGTGGTGATCAATTTGAAACAATACAAATGGCATTAGAAATATTTGATTTTAATCGTAATGATGAACAACAAAAAATGTTTGCTATTGTTGCTGCCATTTTACATTTGGGTAATGTTGGTTTTTTTGATGAAGATAATGGCCAAACAATTATATCGAATATGAAACCAGTTACAGTGATTAGTAAATTATTAGAATGTGATGTTAATCTACTCAAACAATCATTACTACATCGAACAATCGAGGCGAGAGATGAATTAATGACCACCGATTTAACACGTGATCAAGCAATTTATGCACGTGATGCATTAGCTAAAGCTATTTATCAACGTTTGTTTGTATGGCTTGTATCAAGATTAAATCAATCGCTACATTCGGCTGGACAGCAACACGGACGACAACAATCGAAAAAACAAAAAACAGTAATGGGTTTACTTGATATTTATGGTTTTGAAATTTTTCAACAAAATAATTTTGAACAATTTTGTATTAATTATTGTAATGAAAAACTTCAACAATTATTTATTGAATTAACATTGAAACAAGAACAAGAAGAATATCAACGTGAACAAATTGAATGGGAACCAGTTGAATATTTTAATAATCGAATTATTTGTGATTTGATTGAAGAAAAACATCGTGGAATTATTGCCTATTTGGATGAAGAATGTTTACGTCCAGGTGATGCAACGGATTTAACATTTTTATCAAAATTAGATGAAAAAATTTCTGGTCATCCACATTATTGTACAATAAGACCAAATCATTCGAATAAAAATAATCGTCAAAATGGTATGATTGGTGTTAATGGCCAGGAAATTGTTGGCGGCCATCAATTTCGTATTACACATTATGCTGGTGATGTTGATTATGAAATTAATGGATTTATTGATAAAAATAATGATCTATTATATCGTGATCTTAAAAAAACAATGTGTTCATCAAATCATTCGATTATTAAACAATTATTTAATTCGGATGAATTATCAAATCATCGTCGTCCAACAACAACCGCTACACAATTTCGACAAAGTTTATCCAATCTAATGTCATTGTTGGCCACTAAACAACCATGGTATATTCGTTGTATTAAACCGAATAATAATCAACGAAGTAAATTTTTTGATGAGAAAATTGTTTGTCATCAGGTTCAATATCTTGGATTGATGGAAAATCTTCGTGTACGTCGTGCCGGTTTTGCTTATCGTCGTAATTTTAATGATTTTCTTGAACGTTATAAATGTCTTTGTCCAAAAACATGGCCCTATTATGAAGGATCATTTCGTGATGGTGTTCAAGAATTGGTTGATTATTTTGGTTTTGAACCCGATGAATATCGAATGGGTTTGAAAAAAATTTTTATTCGATCTCCACAAACATTATTTCGTATTGAAGATGCATTTCAACAACATAAACATGTTCTTGCTACAACTATTCAAGCTGTATATCGTGGTTGGTTAATGAAAAAACGATATGAAACAATTAGAAAATCAATGATTGCATTACAGGCAAATATTCGTCGTTATTTAGCCAAGAAAAATTATCAACGAAGACGTCAAGCAGCTAATCAGATTCGTGCATTTATTAAAGGTTTTATTACACGTAATGGACCATCAAATCAATTTAATCAAAAATTTAAAAGACAAGTTAAAATTCATTGGCTTACAACTCTAAGTGAATCATTACCGAATTCGATTTTAAATCATAAATGGCCTATGGCACCAATATGTTGTCAAGAAGCATCAAAACTGTTATGTAATATGCATCGAAGATGGTTAGCCAGGAAATATTGTCTAAAAATTTCACCGAAACGTAAAGAAATATTACAGGAAAAAGTATTGGCCGAAAATTTATTTAAAAATAAAAAACAATCATATTTGGAAAGTATTCCGGAACCATTCGAATCGAATCGTCTTGGTAAGTTTGTTTCAAGTTGACATTGTTAAATTGTTGATTTTGAAAATTGTTGTTTTTTTTGTCTGATAAAGATGGTCGTTTGGATGAAATGCGACGAAATATTTTCGAAAATAAATTCAAAATTGATGATGATGAAAAAACACAATATTGTTCGATGGTTAATAAATATGATCGTCATGGTTATCATTGTCGACAACGAATGTTAATCTTAACTAATAAACGATTATATTTGTTGGAAGTGAAAAAATCTACGCTGGCAATGAAAGAAACATTATTATTAAATTTGATCAAAATTGTTATCAGTAATCATAATGATGGATTATTTATCATCAAAATTCCAATAATGAAAAAAGAAAAGGTTTGTTTTGTTTTGTTTTCGCTTATCGATAGCTCATCCTTTTTGTTTTTTGGTTGGAAACAGGGTGATCTTATTCTAGAATATCATCCAAGATTGATTGAATTGCTGACAAAATTCATTCGTTTTGCTGGCCAAGATAAATTGATTATTGATAATGGTAATATGTTGGAACATCAAATGTCAAACGGTAAAAAAGGACAAATTCAATTCTGTGGTGGTGAACGTTATGAAATTTCGAAACGTAAAGATGGCCAATTACAAGTGATGGTTAATCTTTAAAACATTTTCGCACAATTTTTGGCTACTTTTAAAAAAAAATATTTTTTATATGTTATCATGCTAGTCCACGTGGTTATCTTATTCATTTTTTTTCTATATATTTTATATATTCAATAATTCAAGTCTATTGCATTTTGAATGATTTTTCAATTTTATTTTCTATATTTGATTTTTGATGTTTTGAAAAAAAAATATTTACATTTTTATTATTATGATTTTCTTGCCTTACACTTAATCCAGATAATATTCAATTAATGTTGAAAATGCAGCAAAACCTGCTGCACCTAATAAACCACCTTTAATACCGGCACGTAAACCAAGCATACCGCCAACAACACCACCGGCCATTGTACCATTTTTCCAATCTTTTTTTGCTCGATACTTTTGGAATCAATCAAAAATTAATGACAAATTTAAAATCTGATATTTTTTGATTACTTACCGATTCGATAGCACATTCAGTAGCTGAAAACATTGCACCTAACATTGCAAAATTCTTTGCATATGACATTGATTTGGATTTCATTTCGCGTAAAACTTCACGAACAGTTTGTTTTGGTGCATTCAACGGTGCCAGTTCAGGTCCAACACTTGCTGTGAATAGCCCAATAGCTGCTCCAAGACCAAAACCAGCTACACAACTGAGCGTTGTTTTGAATACACAACTTTCGAAAAAATTTTCAACCATTCTTTGATTATCCGGTTTTAATGGTTCAGCACCTAAATAACCATTTGGTACTAACATATTTTCACGATATCTTCGTTCGGGTCCAATTAATGCATCACGTAATTCACTAAAACTTATCGATGGTTCTTGTTGTTGACCACCATTACTGCTATTATTATTATTATTTAAAGACATTTTTATCGGATAAAATTTAAACTTTTTTCTTTGAAAAAAAAAATTTAAATTCGAATCAGCTGGCCAAAGAGCGCATGCATTAATTCGAACATATCGAACGATACTATCGATTATTATTCGTGTTATGTATGTGTGTACCTGAATTTCAGGAATTTTTTTGTTTATTTTTCTTTTCATTCTGACAAAAAAAAACAAAAAACAAAAATCAGATCAGATCAGGTCAATCAACAAATGTTATAAAAGTACGATGACACCGTCATCGTTCTAAATCAACAAACAAACAACATCAGACAACAACAACAAAATCATTACATTACATCGTCATCATCAACAACAAAAAAAAAGTTTGATTCAGAAAAAATCAAAACAGTTGTTTTGAATTACCAAATAACAAAACATCACACACACATATTAAACACAGACAAAAAAACAATGTCTATTTGATATTTTTGTTCATTTTCATTGCATTACATCATTTTGAACCAAATTTTTTTTCTTTTGATCAACGAATAAAAAACAAAAAATATCGTTCCTGGTTCTGGTTTTCCTGTTTTTTTGTTTTTTCGAATTTTTATAATCCAAAAAAAAGTGATGGGCGCCTCTCATTGAATATTTAATTTTGTTTTTCATTTAGTGGTATATAATCCTTCGAAGTTTTTTTCATTGTGAATCTAATCAAACTCCAATTCCAAACTTTCGAGATTTTCTCTCAACACAGAAAAACAAAATTCAACTTGAAAATTTTTCATCATCATCATTCTGAAGTCAACTTTGATATTGACAAAGCAGCAACAGTAAAAAAAACCCAGGTAAGTTTTTTGTATTTGTATTTTTCTTCAACTTACGAAAATTGAGATGATGATGCGCACACCTTGACATCTACAACATCAACAACAATAATAATAATCCTTGTAGTTTGATCATTGTTGACCATCATCATTCGATGATGACGAGGTAAAAAAGCATCGATCTTTGTTTGTCGAAGTTTTCTCTCCCACAGTGTCTTTCTTATAAGAAAAAGCTCAAACATCGAAAAAAGATGATGATGAGGGAAAAAAGATGAATGACTAGATAGATGGCCAAACAATAAAAAAAATAACAATCTCAAGGTTGTTGAACAAGATCCATGTGGTGAATCTTTTAGTTTGCTTGTTGCTTGCCGTTTTTCTCAGAAATCGAAAATCAACTTGTTGTTGGACATCATTCGTTTCGATTTTCGATTTTTTTCTTTTTGTTGTTGTCCAAAACGGTTTTTTTTTCAACTAAAGTTTTTTCACCCCTTTTTTTTGTTCAAGTGAAATTTTTCTCTTTCATTTTTGTTGAAAAAGGTGTGATTTTTTTTAAAACCTGAACAAAAAAAATTCACATCGTTTTTGTCCACTATTTATACCCAAATTCATTTTCATTTTAAACGTTCGATTTTTCGAACATTCGAACATTCGAACATTTGTTTTTTTTTTCTGATGACGTTTGTGGTTAGGATTCGAAAATGATTTTTGTTTCAATTTGTGATGAATAATCTTTGTGTTCAAGAAAAAAGGGAACAAAAAAGCTTGTGATTTCACTTTTTCTGATTGTGTGTAGAGTGAATAAAACATCATTTAGAGCCGCATCAATTTGAATAACAATTTGTCCAAACGGTACACCGATTATGGAGAGAGAGAGATACACGAAAATGTGATGCGTACATCTTGATTTTGAGAAAATTTATCACTAATTACAGTTTTTTGTGTAATTCAAATGTAATCATCCAATAGATTTTACTAATATTGACCAAAAATCGATCGATTTTTCATTTCGTTTTTATTGCAAATGAAAATCAATTAGATAAAAAAAAAGAGGAGAAAATTTTTTTGTCTACATTATTATTCAATGTCATCAAATCAACAATCAAGAAAATTGATTACCATCATTTTTCTTATAAATGTGATAAAAATGAAATTACATTTGAAATGATCCAAAAAAAATTATCACCCCAAATCTCAAAAAATGATAACAAATTAATCGTATGATTTCTCCCACCGCAACAACCAAAGTAAAAAAAAATTATCATTAAAAATATACTTTAAAGGTACAAAAAAAACTTTTGGTTTCGTTTCATCGTCGTTCTCTTTTTCTTTTTTTTCTTGTGATAATAATTTTACCGAAAATTAAACGTTATTAAATGTGTGTGTGTAAATCTTGAACATTTGATTGCTTGATTCGATTGCTAACAAACAAACAAAATTTTTTTTTCGACCAAACATTATTCGACCTTGTGCATTTCATTTGTTCATTTTTTTGCAGAAATTTTTCATTTTGTTGAAGCAAAATTAGTGAACCATTTTTTCTCCATTTAAATTTTCAAAGTTTTCTGTTTCAACGTTGCCGGATAGGCCATTTCCTTGAAAAAAAAGAGTTTTTGGTGCGTTTCAACCAAAAGGAAAAAAATTGATTTTTGAATTTTTTTTAAAATTTAAATCGCATATTGATTGATAGATAATAAGTGTGTTTGTGTGTGTGTGTGTGAATCATCGATGGTCGATATCGATTTTTGTTTTGTTTTTGTCAACGATTTTTGTCATCTGTTTTATTTGTGAAATTTTTTATTTTTTCTGTGATTTAGAAAAACTGACCAAATAAACAACAATAATGGAACAAGCCGATGTACAAACACAAGCAAGTCTTATTGCACAATTTAGTGTACTTGATTATGCAATTGTTGTTAGTTTGATTGGTATAACAACATATTGGTTATTATCGAAGAAAAAATCACAACATGATTTTGATGCAAGTTCAATCAAAACATTTGCTTTGGAGTAAGTTTACTTATTTAAAATTTTAAAAATTCCTAATTAATTATTCTATTAAGGCCATCGCTTCAAAGATCACAAAGTGAATCTGGATTTATTTCCAAAATGAAATCCGGTGTATGTATTTCCTTTGTTCGTTTGTTTTTCAATCTATTTTGTAATCTGTAATCACTAATCTAATAGTCAAGAAATATGATCGTATTTTATGGATCTCAAACCGGTACGGCTGAAGAATTTGCTGCACGTTTAGCTAAAGAAGCAACACGTTATGGTATGAAAGCAATGGTAGCCGATCCTGAAGAATGTGAAATGGAAGATTTACCAAAATTACAGGAAATTGAAAATTCATTGGCAGTTTTCTGTGTAGCTACTTATGGTGAAGGTGATCCAACTGATAATGCACAAGAATTTTTTGAATGGCTTAATGGTGGTGGTGCCGAATTGAATGGTCTTCGTTATGCTGTTTTTGGTTTGGGTAATAAAACCTATGAACATTATAATAAAGTTGGTATCGAATTGGATGCTAAACTTGAAAGTTTAGGAGCTGAACGTGTATTTGAATTAGGTTTAGGTGATGATGATGGAAAGTAAGTTATTTTGTTATTTGTTTATTTTGATTTTCATTAACAAAAAAAAAATCTTTTTGTTTTTGTTTTTGTCAACCCTCCCTCCAAAAAAAAGCATTGAAGAAGATTTCATTACATGGAAAGAAAAATTCTGGTTAGCTATTTGTGAAAAATTCGGTGTTGAACGATCAGGTGAAGATATTAACACTAGACAATATGAGCTTATTAAACATGATGAAGATTTACCACCGGAAAAGATATTTACTGGTGAAGTTGTTCGTTTAGGATCATATCGTAATCAAAAACCGTAAGTTGATATTTATTGTAAATTACTCTTTTTTTTTATTATAAATGTTTCATTCATTCAAAACATTGACTAGGCCATTTGATCAGAAAAATCCATTTTTGGCACCAATCATTGTTAATCGTGAATTGTATAAAGGCGAACGATCATGTATGCATATAGAGATCGATATCCGTAATTCAAAACTTCGTTATGAAGCTGGTGATCATATTGCTATTTATCCACAAAATGATACAAAATTAGTTGAACGAATTGGTGAACTTTTAAACGCTGATTTGGACACTGTATTTACATTGAGAAATTTGGATGAAGATAGTTCAAAAAAACATCCATTTCCATGTCCAACTACATATCGTACAGCACTTACCTATTATTTGGATATAACATCTACACCACGAACACATGTGTTGAAAGAAATTGCCGAATATTGTAGTGATGAAAAAGAAAAAGAAATGCTTAAAACAATGGCCATGCCAACGGAACAAGGAAAAGCATTATATTCAGAATGGATAATTGATGATTGTCGTAGTATAGTACATGTACTTGAAGATTTACCATCATGTAAACCAAAAATTGATCATCTGATCGAATTTCTTCATAAATTACAGCCAAGATATTATTCAATTTCATCGTCACCGAAATTTTATCCAGATTCCGTTCATATAACAGCCGTTGTTGTTGAATATGAGACAAAAACGTCTCGTATTAATAAAGGAGTTACAACAAGTTGGTTGAAAGAACATAAACAGGTTATTCCCGATCAACCGGCACCAATTGTACCGATTTTTATTCGAAAATCACAATTTCGTTTACCAAGCAAACCACAAGCACCTGTCATTATGATTGGTCCGGGTACTGGTTTGGCACCATTTCGTGGTTTTCTTCAGGAACGTCATTATATGCTTGAACAACAACAAAAACCACTTGGTGATACGATACTTTATTTTGGTTGTCGAAAACGTGCACAGGATTTCCTTTACGAACAAGAACTAATGGATTATATGGAAAAGAAAGTGATAACCAAATTGTATTTAGCATTCTCACGTGATCAGGATAAAAAAGTTTATGTTACACATTTATTGAAACAAAATATGGAAGAAACATGGAAAGTAATTGGTGAACAAAATGGTCATATCTATATTTGTGGGTAAGTTTTTTTCAAATTTACATTGGTTTAACAATTTATTAATGTTTGTTTTTTTTGATGTATAGTGATGCTCGTACAATGGCACGTGAAGTAAAAGAAATAATTCTTGAAACAATTGAAAAATATGGTAATAAAACGAGAAAAGAATCGGAAGATTTTCTTAAACGAATGGAATCACAGAAACGATATTCGGCTGATGTTTGGAGTTAATCAAAGAATCGGGAAGGAAATTAAATGAAATGAATAACTCATTATTATCATCATCATAATCATCATTATTATTGGCCTATTTCGTGAATATTTTTATCTTTTGTGATCATTATTATTATTATTACTTTTTTTTAGTGAATAATTTACTCTTATTCTAATTGAATTAATTAATCAAATTGCTTTATTTTTTTTATATATTTTTTATATTTTTTTAAAATAATAACCAATGAATTCTATTTCAAAAAAATCGAATTTTATCGATTCTTGATTACGTTCTTTATGAATGATTCATTTATTCTGTGTGTGATTGAATGACGACATCAAACAAAACAAAAAACACGGGCGTCAAGAAAAATGAAAAAAACTCAGGCGTCAAATAGAAATTCTATAGAAAAAATATATATTTTTTAATTTTCTTTCGCCACCACTTTATTCTTCTTCTGTTGTTGTTGTTGTAGTTATTGTTGGCCTTTTGATTTTTTCCTCACAAAATATTAAACAATTTTGCTGTTGTTGTTGTTCCTGGAACTTCATCACCACCACCACCATCGATCCAGGTGAAATTGTAAAAGTATTTCGCAGAGATTTTATTGTAAATTCATTTTGTCATTGAACTCACAAACATTGATTGAGTTATCATTGAAACGGAACAGATTTTTCTCAAAGTTTTTTTTTCTGGTTCTGTGGTTTTCTTAGTCCATAATTTTGCTGTTTGAGAAAATTTCGCCAAAAATGAGCTCAACATCAATTAAAATTACGGGTGCTAGTAGTGGTGCTGCTGGTGGTGGTAGTCAATTACAATCTTCATCAACATCATCGACAACTCCAGCAACAACGACGGCCAAAAAATCGACTAAATTGGGACGTCGTTCTGGTAACAAAGATTCGGCATCAACAAAATCATCTTCAACGATAATCAATGAAGATGAATTACTTGCAAAAGATTTTATAACACCAGATGATGTTTGTAATCTACCATCAATAACCAGACAATATCTTTGTAATACTGAAGCAAATATTTATGATATTGAATTTACACGATTTAAAATTCGTGATATGGAATCGGGTAATATTTTGTTTGAAATTGTTAAATCATCAACTACCAACAACAACAACAACAACAATAAACAGCAATCATCCAATCAGAATGGACAACAACAAAATTCTTCTTCAAAACTATCAAATATTGGACGTTTTGTACGTTATAATTTTACACCAGATTTTTTGGAATTAAAAACAGTTGGCGCTAGGTAACCAAGGAATCTGAATTTTGATTGATTTGACTTTGTTTAATGTTTTTCCTTTGTTTCTTTTTCTTCTTATTTCTAGTATCGAATTCAAAGTTGGATCAAAACCGATAGAAAATTTTCGTATGATCGAACGGCATTTTTTCCAGGATACATTGCTCAAAACATTTGATTTTAATTTTGGTTTCTGTATACCGAATAGTATTAATACTTGTGAACATATTTATGAATTTCCATCTATCACTCCTGAGCTATGTAAGTTATTATTGTTTTTGTTTTTTTGTTTTTCTATTTTTCTCGTTTCTAAATGTAGAAAATAATCAAAATGTTTTTTCTTTCTTTTCATTTTCTTTTTATATTTTGCATATGTCCAAAAGGCCAAGAAATGATCAATAATCCATATGAAACAAAATCGGATAGTTTTTATTTTGTTGACAATCATTTAATAATGCATAATAAAGCTGATTATTCATATAATAATGGATTGTGTTGATTGGAATGGAATGGAATTGTGGCAACAACAACAAAAAAAAAAATAACAAATCATTTGGATCGATTTTCTTTTCTCACTGAATTTTCGCGATATTGACAAATAAAACTTCCGTTTTCTTTTTTCCTATATCGACCTTATTTTCATTTCAACGATTGATCGATTTTTAATCGAATCAATCGATCCAAAATTTTCGATTCGATCAAAAAAAACAACAACCAAATTCGAGCTAATTTTTTTCTTTTGGAAACATTTTTTTTTCATCCTGCCTACCTTATTATTATTATTTTTCGGGTTTTTTTTCTGTTTCTTGGTGTTGAACGGGTTAAACAAAAACATTCATTAATATAGTGCGCACACAAACATTTGATTAATTTGCCATTTTGTTTTTTCGTTTGTTAATTTGTTAATTGCATGCATATTAAATTTGTAAAAAGAAATCAATTTCCCTGAATCAATTTTCAATGTAAAAAATAAAAAAATTTGTAAAAATTTATTAACACTTGATTTTTCTTGAGGGGTGGATAAATTTTCATGTTATGTAATCATCAACTAACCAGTCAACCATTTGATCAAAAAAAACATGGTCATGGTTATTGATTTTTTTGTCATTCCACCATCAGCACACGTGCAACTTGAACACGCGATCATCATTGGAAGAAGAAGAAAAATCGATAATAACTAATTGAATACCAACACCCACCACCATCACTATTTTTTGACATACACGGTGTATGCTTGGCACGCGTCATTTGGTTGTTTTGTTTGAGCTCCGAAACCAGAAAAAAGCTCATCTTCATGATGATAATCATCATCATTGGGTTAATAGCATCAAAGTAACAATGAAATAAAATAGGAAAAAAATGTTAAGCAAGTCGATCGGTTTATCGTTTTTTATTTTTTCATTTTGACGGTTGATTGCTCACCACAAAGCATATGGTTGATGGTAATGGTAAGGCTTTTTTTTTCAATGAGGTTGTTAATATCAGCCAGAAAAAAAAACCTTGCGCGGCTAGGCTATAGTACAGCGCTAGCGCGATTTGTGTGTTTTGTTCAAATTCAAACTGGCCAATTTGATTCTTCAGGAGACCAAGAGACTTGGCTTCCAAAAAAACCAAAATCACCACAGATTATGATCATCTTGATGATGATGATCGATTTTTTTTTTTGAAAAAATAACGGTTACCTAAAGAGAAATTAAAATTATGATGTTTGTTTGTTTGTTTTTGTGTCTAATTCATGTCTATCGAGCAGAAATAATGATTCACCCTTGGAGCAAAAAACAAAAACATGGGCGAAGCATTTTTACAGAAAACGAATATAGATATGCAAATCACACACATGCACACCCTGTAGAAAAAAAACTACCGTTATTACGGGAGATGTGATGATGATGATGATTGAAAATCAATTTCAAACAATATCGATCACCATCATCTCCCATAATTAATTTAAAATCAATTCGGACAAGGCCTTAGTCATTCTTTGAAATGATGCTTGACTAACCTTGAATATAAGATAATTATCATCAAACAACAACAACAACAACTAAAACCTAAGGACCCTATGACCAATTCAAACTGACATTATGTCATCATCATCATCATCAGAGAGAAAAAAACTGACCAAAATTCCAGAAATGAACCCAGATAATTATTATTTGTAAAAAAAAAAATTTCACTGATATACGTGACATACATGATGAGGATATGGATATCTTCTACATCTCTTTTGAAGTTTTTGTTGTGTTTGATGGACCATAATGATAATTATTTTTATGAATATTTTTTTTTTCATTTAAAACAAGGAAATCTCGATATCAAAAAATGTTCCCATGACTACCTTTGATTTGTAAAAATGGCTACTTGTTTTTTTTATGCACCTTATTGATGATGTTTTTCATGAGAAAAAAACATCGTCGGATGTTTTTTTTTTTTGACTATTTTAACCTGAGAGTGAGGAAAAACATCCGACAACGACGATTGTTTTTTTTTGACTTCTGAATTTTTGGCTTTTTTTATCTCGTTAACAAAAAATTGATAATTAATTAGCGTTGTTTTTTTCTGTTGATTATCATCATTTTGTTCAAAAGAAAAACCGTTTGAATTTTTTTTAGCTATTTTTTTGAGTGATAATCAGCCATCACCAATGGAAAATAACATGGATGAATGATGGATGATGTTTTGAAATCCAGGGTTTTTTCTAATTCTACCTGTACGACAACAACAACAACAACAAAAATAAGTTAAAATAATTCGGTTTAATTTGTTAATGATTTTATCGCGCATCGTTGATTCTCAACATTTGCAACAGCCAAAAAAAAGAAACTTTCTGGAAAAAAAGAAATGAAAAGAGGGAAAATTTTCTTTCTCTGTTGCAGACATGATGATTATGGTGGTGAATATTGATGATGATGACCATTATCAACAACCGACCATTACACAATCGATCAATATTGATCATCCATTGTGTAATGATAATAATGACTTTATTTTCGCCATATTGATCCAATCATCGATTGAATTATTATTGGTTATTTTCGATCGATAATGATTCAATCAATTTCGAGAAATTTCCTGTGAATTTTTTTTTCAAAACTGCGAAAAGTTTCTTGGGAAAAAAACGTTCGAACATTCGAATATTCGAATAAAATGATCAACAAGTGTCACATCCATCCACCATGGTAGATTTTTCTTCATTTTCTTCGATGATCATCAGATCTTTGAAACTTTGAAAAACTTTACTCTGGTTACAATGTTTCATTTTACAATCTTCACTCAAAAACACACACAGGTCATCCATTGTGACGCACCCTATCTCTCACTCACAGACTGATCATCATCATCAGATTGACAGGTAAACAAAAACTTTCAACCAAGACAAGGTTTCAAGTTTTTTTTCAATTTTTACCTGAATCATCATCATCAACAACAACAACAATAATTTTGATACATAGTTGTTAAGAATCAAAAGAAAAAACTTGTCGGAAATTGAAAAAAATTTTCTTCATCGTCTTCGTCTTCGAGCAAAAAAAAAATCAATTTCAATTCACCAACCAAACTCATTGAGAGAAAATAGAATTGGGTCCTTATTATTTTCCAATTTTGTTTTGGAAATTTAAAAAAAAAAGATCAAAGAAAATTCTTTTGTTCTTCATCATAATCATCATCATCGTTGTTATTCAAGCACATAGAGAGAAAGACCGCTCTCAAGACCTTATGGACCTAATGGATAAATAATTGCAACTTTACTCTTCATGCACCCAGCAAAAAAAAAAAAAAAAAAANAAAAAAAAAGATCAAAGAAAATTCTTTTGTTCTTCATCATAATCATCATCATCGTTGTTATTCAAGCACATAGAGAAAGACCGCTCTCAAGACCTTATGGACCTAATGTATAAATAATTGCAACTTTACTCTTCATGCACCCAGCCAAAAAAAAAATAGAAAAAAATAGGTGCTATTTTCGGCACCTTCAGGTTATTGTTTTCTTCTTGTTTTTTGCTGTTTGTTTGTTTCGGGTTATAATCACTTTGACATTTCATAATAATAATAACGGGTCGATCCTGGCTTTGACCTGGTCAATATTTTTTTCACTTCACTTCACTTTTCCTCAAAAAGTTGAATGATTATGATGATTAACACGCCCAATATATTTCACACTTATTTATCATCATCATCATCAAACACCATAATGATTTTGAATTTGAATGTTCAAACACACACACCAAAATTCTAATGGAACAATATTGGTTTCGCCTAAAAAAATTAATAATGGTGTTTGTTTGGTGTGTTTCAACGAATCAGTTAATTCATTCATCCATTACGAATTTTTTTTCTCTCTTCTAGAATGATTATCATTTCATTTCTTCTGAATTGATTACGAATAATGATCGGCATTATTCACTTTGAACCCAATGAAACGAACGGAATCAATTTCCAATTTTTTTTTGTTTGGCTGTCCATCAGAAATTCATCGTGTGATTGATTGATTGATTGATTACAATCATTATCAATTACCAATTTTGTCCATCAATTTCATCATCAAAAGTCGCATCGAATCTCCCACCACCCTGTATGTAAAGAATTCAACAAATTCGAATCTTTTTCATTTCCCTATCTCTTTCTCACTCTCAACAATCGATTATTGCAGGTAAGTAATATCGATTGTTTTAACCTAAAAATTCATATCGTTTTTGTTTTCCAACCATCCTTCAAATAAATCTAATTGATTTGTTATTGTTTTTTTTTTCAGGAAAAAAATTATTTTTCCCCACCAAATAAATTGGAAGATATTGTTTTTTTTTGGCCAAACAGCCACCAACCACCCTCAACAACTACAATCGTTTACTATCGATAGAGTCGACCTCGAAACTGAAAAGAAAATTCGAATCTTTTTCAAACAAACAAAAAAACATTCGAATTCATCGATCATCGAAATGAAAATCCAATCATGAATGATTTCGAATGACATTATGGTACCATCATCGATTATGATGAATGAAGAAACCACCACCAGAAAACAAAAATTTGATGATAATTTTTTCATTCTGGAACCCAGAGTGCAAACCACCATCGCAAACCAATTATGATTATTATTGACCCACTACTGTGTTTTTGTTTTGTTGAAAAAAAATTTTGAGAGAGAAAAAAATGAATTTTTTTTAATTTCATTTTTTTTCCTGAACATTTAAAGAATAAAGGTAAGTGAATATTTTAATTGGTTTTTACAAAAAAAATTATACCAATTTTTGTTCTCACTCGGTGGTTGATTGATACATTATTCATTCATTGTTTTTTACGTTATGAATTTTGATTTTTTTTCAAAAAAAAAAAATTATTTATTTATATCGTGTGTGTGTGGTCAACAACATCGTCATTATTAATTTGTTTGCTTCCAAAAAAATTATACACATCAGTTATATTTTCTCATGAAAACATTTCTACGAATATAAAAATGGGTTAGATTTGTTTGGTGGTAGTTCAATTCGACAATTTGACTTCCGAACCAAAAAAAAACACGGGTAGTCAATCATTTTGACTTCTTCATTTCAGTTAATGAACTGATCAACATTTTTTTTTGTTTTTTCTGTTCATTAATCAGTCAATCGATAATGAGAATCCTCCCCCCAAAAAAAAGTTATTGAATAGATCCAGACATTAGATATCACGCGATCTTTGTCTTTTTTTGACTTTCAAAACCAAAACCCAAAGAGTTTTTCTT